CTGTCTCTTTATTAGCCTTTCAGAAACCAGACCAGAAACAAAATCTGCTGTAACACACACACACACACAATCACACACAAACATACACACACACACACACACACACACACACACAATCTCACACAAACATACACACACACACACACTAAAGTTCTGTCTCTTTATCAGCCTGTCAGAAACCAGAGCAGAGAAACATTTTCACTTTTTTTTGCTGCAATAGTTGATCGTGCGGCGGTAACTCATCCTCGGATCTATAACACACACTAATAGTAATGTCACGAGGCTCTAATATCTCTGGATGGATTATTGTGTAAATCCTGGAATAGTTTCACACTGACATTATGCGCATTATGGCCATGTGAAGTGCAGCTCTGACAGCCAGAGTCCATAAATGGAGCAGTTTTTTGATGCGCAGATCTCCATAAAACACACTCATCCGGCTGATATCTGGAGCCAGTCAATGTATACAAGCTGTAAATCCAAAGCTCTTCGCGCTCTGTTTATTGTTGGATGCCAAATTTCACCCCGCTCACATTTTTCAGGGCGAAAAAAGGGCTTGGCAGAACTACATTAAGCGGACTCAGAGAAGGTCTCGCAGGCCAAAAGATGTGTGTTTCACCATTCATCACCGCCTTATGATGAGCTGAACACGAGATGAAGGAGAGAAAAGGAGACGCTGAAATGCTTTTCAATGATTATGAACGTTTTGAAGCTGTTTCTCTATTGCTATAAAAGCAGATTTCACAGCATATCTGGATCATTTTTGCTGTAAAGGCTAAATGTATCAAAAATGTGATCAATAATAAAAGTTTTTTTTTTTAATTGTTTAAATAATCAAATATATTTTTGAAATTATATTTATAAACTTATTTATTTATTTATTTATTTACACCAATAAAAAAAGGTTTAAAACTTTCATAATCATGTAGCATTAAAAGGAAATAAATTATCACAAAATCCTTTGATGCATTAAAATAAACAAGTAAATAAATTTACCAACTAACTTGCATACCTACTTAGTAACTAACTAACTAACTTATCTTACAAATTTGCTTTCTAACTTACTAACTTCCTCACTAACCTACTTACTAACCAACTTAATTATTAACTTACTAACTAACTTACCAACTCACTAATTTACTAACAAACTAACTCTCTAACTTACAAACTTACTAACTTACTGACTAACTCACTAACTTACTGACTAACTAACTCAGTAACTTACTAAAATACTCACTAACTAACTTACTACATAACTAACTTACTACATAACTAACTCACTAACTTACTACATAACTAACTCACTAACTTACTACATAACTAACTCACTAACCTACTACATAACTAACTCACTAACCTACTACATAACTAACTCACTAACCTACTACATAACTAACTCACTAACCTACTACATAACTAACTCACTAACTTACTACATAACTAACTCACTAACTTACTACATAACTAACTCACTAACTTACTACATAACTCACTAACCTACTACATAACTAACTCACTAACTTACTACATAACTAACTCACTAACTTACTACATAACAAACTCACTAACTTACTACATAACTAACTCACTAACTTACTACATAACTAACTCACTAACTTACTACATAACAACTCACTAACTTACTACATAACTAACTCAATAACTTACTACATAACTAACTCACTAACCTACTACATAACTAACTCACTAACTTACTACATAACTCACTAACTTACTACATAACTAACTCACTAACTTACTACATAACTAACTCACTAACTTACTACATAACTAACTCACTAACCTACTACATAACTAACTCACTAAGTAGCCACCTACTAACTTACTAATTTACTGACTAACTTACTAAATAACTAACTCTCTAACTCTAACTCACTTACTAACTAACTTACTAACTAACTCAGTAACTTACTAAATTACTCAATAACTTTCTACATACCTAACCCAATAACTTACTAACCTACTAAGTAACTTACTAACTTACTTACTAACTTACTAAATACCTAATTTACCAACTAACTTACTACCTCACTAACTTGCTAGCTTAACACAGACTAACTTATCAACTTACTAGCTAACAAATGTACTCACTAACTTACTGACTAATTTACTAACTTACTAACTTCCTGACTTAATAACTTACTAATTTTCTTATAAACTTATGAACTTACTAAAAAACTTACTGACTAACTTGCTAACTCACTTACTCACTAACTTACTAACTTTCTGACTAACTCACTAACTTACTAACTAGCTAGGTAACCAACTTACTAACTTATCAACTTACTAGCTTACAAACATACTCACTAACTTACTACCTTACCAACTTACTAACTTACCAACTAACTTACTAACTCACTAACTTACTAACTCACCAATTTACTAACTAACTTACCAACTAACTTTCTACCTTACCAGCTTACTAACTCACTAACTTACTGTGTAACTTACTAACTAACTAACTTTCTGACTAACTCACTAACTTGCTAGCTTCACAACTTACTACCTTATCAACTTACGAGCTTACAAACATACTAACTTACTACCTTACCAACTTACAAACTTATCAACTTACGAGCTTACAAACATACTAACTTACTAACTTTCCAACTTACTAACTTACCAACTAACTTACTACCTTACCAGGTTACTGACTAACTTACTCACCAACTTACTGTCTAACTTACTAACTCACTTCCTGACTTACTAACTCACAAACTCACTAACTTATTAAATTACTAACTTATAAAAAAAAACGTATACTATCAAAAATATATATAGATAATAAAATGTTTTTAATCTTTTTCAAAAATGTATGAATGATCAAATATATTTTTAAAGGCAAAATGTATAATCAATGTAATAAAATCTATTTTAAATGTTTTTAAAAAAAATGCATTAATAATACAGTATATATTGGAAATAATATTTATTTATTTATTTTAATGCATTAAAGGCCTTGGATTTTGATCATTTATTTCCTTTAGTAAAGATGTTTGAAGAGAAAAAACTATAGAATTAAATGCTAAATGTTTATAAAAGTTTTAAAGCTTTTTCTCCATAGGTATAAAACTAATAAAAGCATATTTTACAGTATATCTGGATTATTATTGTTGAAAAAGCTAAAATCTCATCAAAAATGTGATTCATTTTGAAAATGTTTTTAAAAATGGATAAATAATAAAAACTATTTTTGAAATCTTTTTAAAAAAATGTTATGTGCATATATATTTATATATAATATATATATATATACTACATGGATTATGAACGTTTTTTTTCTATTGGTATAAAAGCATATTTCAATGCAAATGTTATTTTGTTGAAAAATGTATAATCAAAAAGGTAATAAAATATACACTTAAAATGTAAAAAAAAATTATAAATAATGAAATATGTATTTCTAATTTTATTTATTTATTTATTTTATTATGAAATGCCACATGGATAATTATGAAAGTTTTTAAGCTTTTTTTTCTACTATAAAAGCAGTAAAATCATTTTTAACCGCATATTTTGGATTATTTTGTTAAAATAATGCATTGCTATTAATAAAATCATTTTTTATTAAGTTATTCAATTAAAAATAATTTTGTTTGGATTGTGATCTTTTTTTTATCAAGGGGGAAGTTTGAGGAAATGTATAAAATGAAATGCTGCAATGATTTAATTATTTTTCACAGCAGATTTGTTTCTTGAAAAGGCTAAATGTACAATCATTGTAATAAATGTTTTTCAAAAATTAATAATAAAGAAAATACACATTTATTTACTTTTAATGTATGCATTAAAATCTTTACATAAATTAAAATCATTGCAGTTGGATTTTGATGTTTTATTTCCTTTTATAAAGATTTTTTTACAAACAGGAGACTCTATGAATGATTATGAAAGGTTTGAAAGCTTTTTCTTTAGTATAAATCCGTTTCACAGCCCTCTGAGTTATTTTGTTGACAGGCAATTAAAATTAAACATGTATTTAAAAACTGAATACTAATAAATAACAAAATATATTTTTTTCATATATATATATATATATATATATATATATATATATATATATATATATATATATATATATATATATATATATATATGTATTATTTTTAATACATTTAGTTTAAAAATGTATTGCATTAAGATCATTTGTTTTTATTTTATGAAGGGGCTGTACCAGATGGGAAGAATAAAACGAAACTCTTAAATTAAATGTTATTAAGTTTAAAGGTTTTCTGAAGTATAACACCATCTTTCACAACAAATCTGAATTATTTTGATGGAGGTTAAAAAAATAAAACCATTAAAAAGCAAAAGTAAAAAGGCAAAATGTACAATCAAAAAGTACTAAATATATGAACAAAAATAATACACATTTCGAAAATTATTTTATTTTAAATACAGCATTAAAAAATGTGACAATGTGCCACCCTTAATATTTTCTTCTTTAAATGCAAGTTATTATTATTGGATTGTTTTTCATTTAGTTTTTTATATTAGTCAACACTAATGATTGTATAACTGTACTTTCCATGACGGTACACAAATAAATAAATAAAATAGGTTTGAGCTATAGGCCTATGCACCATGATAGAGTACAAAAGCTGACCATTAAATAATTAACTAATAATAATTTGTTATTTAATTGTTTATTAAGTATTAAATAATGTTTGCAAATTATCTTATGTAGACTTTCTCAATAATATGAGTTGTTTGTGTAACTCTTTCCTGCAATGATGAAAAGCTCTTGACCATAATATATTGCGCAATGTACAGCCGACAATTAACCATAGCGAGAATTATGGTGCAAGCGTTGATTACTGTATCATGATTTTTAAACAACCCATATTTTAATAGAATATATGCATTATTTAAATAAGAAATACTAAATATTTCATTCAAAATAGTACAATAAAGCTTGATGGATTTTATTATAAATTAATTTTGCTTAGTGCAATGATGTTTTCCATAAACACGCCACGTGATCTAGAAGAATCAGTCGTTTATTTACATGTTCAGTGCAAATACTTACAGACAAATATAATACAATCAAGTTTATCAACGTCATTCAAATCCCAAATCGTCAGAAGTGGTTCGGTTAAGGCAGATGCGATGCTTTCCGTTCACAAATAAAAATAAAAAGTCTCTGTTTCACAATGGAAGACGGGGGCTCATGTAGGCCTGTGTGTGTATGTTTGTGTCTCTGTCCCGTAAAACGCGTTAATTGTGTGTTTGAGGTGTTCACATCGGAAGATGATTCGGATCTGGTTCACATCAGAAGATTCCGTTTCTCACAGCAGCATTTGTGTGGCTGTGTTCGGTTCTGTTGTGGGGTTTGTGCTGGATGTGTCCTGCGTGCTGACAGGCAGAGGTCCAGGAATAATCACACTGGCTTTGTTGAGGTCAGAAATGTCCACGTCGCTTTTGTCTTCCGGTCCGTCTTCAAATTCGGATTCGCTCGGTTCGGTTTCGCATTCGGAATCGTCGCGTTCCTTTTGTTCAGTTTCGGCTGCGGATTTGTCCGGTTGCTCTTTCTCTTTGTCCTTCTGCGCTTGTGCTTCTTTGGAATGCCTCCATTTCATCCTCCGGTTCTGAAACCAGACTTTCACCTAAGATAATAATAAAATATTTAACTTACACGCATACATGTACATTTTATTTTAAATCATTTAATTGCTCACTGAAGAAAATATTCATCGCATTGGGCCGAAGATAAATAAACAAATGAAGTTGAGCATTACTACATTTTGTTTGTTCAAATTCAGCCCATTTAAATGGTGTGCAACCACTTTCATCCTTTGGTTCTGAAACCAGACTTCTAAAACAATAATAAATATATACTTAAATTTGCATGCATTTAATTATGCACTGAAAAAAATATTCATTGGATTTACTCATTTTTATAGATAAGTGGTTGCAATTTTTTTATAAGGGCTGAATTTAAACAAATTAAGTTGAGCATTACTCAATTTTGTTTGTTTAAATACAGCCCATGGTTTGCAACCACTTTCATCCTTCGGTTCTGAAACCAGACTTCCAACATAATAATAAAATATACTTAAATTTGCATGCATTTAATTCATTTTAAACCATTTAATTATGCACTGAAAAAAATATTCATTGCATTTATTTATTTTTAAAGGTAAGTGGTTGCAAAATAATTATGGGCTAAATTTAAACAAATTAAGTTGAACATTACTGCATTTCATTTATTTAAATTCAGCCAATATGAATTGTTTGCAACCACTTATCTTTAAAAAGATTTAGCAAATCCAAATAATCTTTTTCTTTTAGTGTGGCTTTACGCATTGTACAATATATGTAGATAGATATGTCAAACAAATGTTTTTGTTACTTCAATAAAACAAGTTAGTCATGTTTCACTATTTTCTTAAGTTCTACAAAGTGTAACTTTCATTAAATCAGTCAAACGGACTAAAATATTAATGACTAGAAAAGTTCATTTAATTCAACTAAAGTAAGCAAAATTGTTTTTACAGTGTAGTATTTATAATATGTGCACTTTAAAATTTATATGATCTATTAGTCATTATGAAAACATGTTTTTGTTACGTTGAAATTAATTAATTAGTGATTTATTCCGCTTTTGACATGTTTGTTTGTGTCAATTACATATTATTTAATAAAATATTATCTCCAAAGAATGTGTGCATAATTCAATGTAAAGTGTGTTAATGATTTTCAGTGATGAATGAAATCACTTTATATTGAAGAGAGACAGACATCCAGTTTCCAAACTTTTCTGTAAAGTTTTGAAACTCTCTTATCGCCTTCCTAATGCTGGTGTCCTGTCATTTTCGATATCAAATAAAACACAAGCTCTTGCCCAATGTCCTAAATTAGGACGTTTTGAAACGAAACAACTTGAACCCCTCCCGCGTTTGCAATAATTCGTTATAATTGACTTTCATTTCTCTAGAAATGTGTGGTGTCGCAATGCTGCAGCTTTTTATTTTTTTTTACAAAGCACTCCAGATGGCATGTGCTTATCATTTAAGTGCGAGAACATTACCTGTAAATGCACAAATAAATAACACCATGAAAAATACACTAGATCTGCTAATTATCTGAATTAATATCACCACGCATTTCATAAAATACACCAAATTGTAAGTTACGCTCACCTGTGCGTCAGTGAGTCCCAGCATCGCAGCCAGTTGTTTTCTGTCCGGTTTTGTGACGTACTTTTGTATCTCGAAGCGTTTCTCCAGGCCTTTCCGCTGCAGGTTGGAAAACACAGCTCTGGACCAGGATCTTTTCCTCTTGTACGTCTGTGGCATTGTGTCTTTGGAAAGCACCGCATACGGCCCTGTTTGGTTCAAACCACACAATCGCCATTAGAACGGAGCAGAAATGCATTGCACAATGCACCAACTTTGTCTTAAATGCATGCTATTTAATTATGCATGTGCAAAATAATCACTTATACACGTGCAGTCAGAGTCAAAAGAAGGACATTTCGTCCACACACGTTCTGTCTGATTTAGTTACTTATTTTGGCTCAACTGGGGAGTTTCTACACTACCTGGGAAGGTGTCTTGAAACTGATGTTGCCCTGATTGTCTGGCGGCATTGCCTATCGAACCCATCAGGGAGGAGGTTTCGCTCATGGTCGGGTCTATGGACGCGAAGTACGGGCTGGCAGACACATGGACTGCAGACTGCCGATTCGGACTAACAATCGACGTGAGATCTGTTACAGAAAAACACAAAGAGTTCCCATTAACCCCGTGCATTTATGCATTTAAATTGGCTAATGAATTCGCAAGCAGTGTCACTGCACAGGAGGACGCGTTTGAACTACATTCACTCAAAATAAAAAGTCTTGTTCAAACTACTTATTTAAAATGAGCTGAATCAACACAATTATTAAGGGTTTTTGGAGGGGCAACTTAATTGTTTAAAGTTCAATCTACTTAAATTTGTTAAAATCATTTAAGTTAACTTAATAGATTTGTGTTGCGATGGCATGAAGGAATTACTGTATGTGTAACCCTGCATTAACACTTAAAACTGCTTGTTCACACTAATTTAAAATGAATCGACACAATTCTTACCTTTTTTGTAGGGGAAAACTTTAATTGTTTAATTCACTTAAATTTGCAAAAATGATTAGGTTAACTTAATTGATTTTTGTTGGGACAATTGTGTAAAACCCATCATTATTTTTTCAATCTAACTTGGGTTGCTGAGCTGTGTAAATAAAACAACAACAACTAAGATTAAATTAGCGTCTTACCTCTCAACGATGGAGACTCTTTTGACTTCGGCTCGAAGTCTGTGGATAATATCCGATCAATGCCGAACTTGAGGTCTTTACTTGTCGGCGGGGGGGCGTTTATCGCGGCTCTGGATGTCAAGTGTATTCCGTGCCGGAGGTACGCGGGGTGTAAACGCGCGTCCGGGGTTACCGGCGACGGCCGAAGCGGAGACCCTGACGAATGAACCTGCGCACGGGCCCCAATATGAGCCATGAGCGAAGACGATCCCTGGATGTTTTCAGCATCTCCAACATGCAGTATATCAGCAATGCAGAACGAGGGTTTCTTCATGCTATCCACCGCAAAACCAGCCGAACAATACGCAGTCCACAGGCTAAAGTTCGATGCGTAAAACGGGTTGAGTCCCGTTGTGTACATCCTGACAGGAAAAGGCGAAACTTCTGAACAGAATCTCGAACAACTGCATGTAATGAGCACGAGCAGACGGTCAAGTTTAAGGAGTTGCCCTCTCTTGCGTCGCTCCTCAAGTATGAAACTCCAGACGGGGGTCCGAACTGCTCTAAGCTAGAGTTATTGCGTTATTGATTGGCTCTTTCTGAGCCAATGGAAGTTGACAGAACGACCCAAACACGCCCCAAAGACGATGAGTTTGACCGAGAGCACGTCCATTAATGCCCTTCGTGTTTGTTAAATGGATATGAATAGACATTAAAACAGATAAGTTGTCGCTTTAATTGAATTTTAAAAATCATTAATCAAATTGTAAGATTATCTAAAGTATAATGTAGAAATAATATTATTTTAATACAAATTAAATACAATTTCCAAAGGCTTTGGGTAAACATTTCGTCCAATAAATTTAATTAACAACAAAATTAACCCATGCGCCACTTGGTTTTGTTCAAAATAAGGTTGAGAAAGCAAGTACATTTTATATGTATTTTCAAATAACCATTTATTCTAATAGATGCATTATATTTATACAAAAAAAAAGTTTCATTTAGATTAACACACAATATACTTCAAATAGAAAAAATACTGTTTTACACGCATGTGTGCATTCTCTTCAGTGCCGACCGTGTTTTTATTTTTTATTATTATTTTTTTATTATTATGCTAACAAACTATGATTAAAAAATGATCCACAATCAAATGCTAACACTCCGACTCGTGTGTGTGTGTATGTGTGTGTGTTTTCTGCTCTGTGGAATTAGGAAACAGGAGTTTCTCGATGCAGGTCATCCTGTTTTTGATGAGCTCTGATTCAGGCTAAATGAGCGGATATTCCTGCAAGATTTAGGCCAAAAATAGAAGATGCTTTAGTATTTTAGGATACAGCAGAGCACCCTTATTTCCTCCGACTCACAGAGGTGGAACTTTATAATGACTGTTAGCACTTCCTTTTTTCAATATTTGTGCAACTTTATCTCAACTCGCAAGTCGCACGGTGACGCAAATCCGTCCTTATGCTTATAATAAACAGAGGAAATCTATTCTCCGCTGAAACGAAAACACAATTAACTACTGAGGCGATACTTCATCCATATGCACATGACAACTTTACATTGCTGTGCCAAAAATAGAGCGTGCTGGAAAGACGAAAACAGATTTGAAGAAAAAAAAATGCATGTATATAGATAAGCCACATATGCATGACAACTTTACATTACTGGCAAAAAATAGAGCGCTTTACACAATGCATTAAAAACCACAACATATATTAAAAATTAAAATGCATCTATAGAAATAATCTAAATTTGTTACAATGCATTAAAAACAACAACAGATTTTGAAAGTTAAAATGCATAGATGGAAAAATCTACATATTCATGACGACTTTACATTACCGTGCCCAAAAACAAAGCGCTTTTCACATGCTGGGCGAACAAAAACGGATATTGAAAATTAAAATGCATATATAGAATTATTAATAAAAAAATTCACAATGCATTAAAAACAACAACAGATTAAATAAGCTCATGCATATAGAAATAATCCTGACAATATGCATGAAACTTTGTGCCAAAAAAAGAGCGTTTTCATAATTCATTGAAACAACAGCAGATTTAATGCATATATAGAAATAATCCACATGCATGACAACTTTACATTACTGTCAAACAAATTAGAGCGCTTTTCACAATGCATTAAAAACACAAACATATTTAATGCATATAAAGAAATAATTCACATATTTACATGGGCTTTTCACATGCTGGATGAACAAAAACTGATATTAAAAAATAAAATGCATATAGAAATAATAATAAAAAAATCACAATACATTAAAAACAACAACAGATTAAAAATCTTAATGCATTTATGAAATAATCCACATAGCCTATGCATGACAACTTTACATTGCTGTGCCAAAAATAGAGCGTTTTACAATGCATTAAAAAGAACATCAGATTTAATGCATGTATAGAAATAATCCACATGCATGACAACTACACTATTGTGCCAAAAATAGAGCTTTTTACAATGCTTTAAAAAGAACATCAGATTTAATACATATATAGAAATACTTCACATATGCATGACAACTACATTACTGTGCCAGAATAGAGCGTTTTCACAATGCAATAAAAACAACAACATATTTAATGCATATATAGAAGTAATCTACATATGCAAGACAACTTTACATTAATGTGCCAAAAATAAAGCGCGTATCACAATGCATTGAACAACAACATATTTAATGCATATATAGAAATAATCCACATATGCATGACTTTACATGCGCTTTTCACATGTTGGATCAACAAAAACTGATTAAAGAATTAAAATGCATATAGAATTAACCCTTCGGGCATTACAGATGTTGTTCTGTCATATATTTATGCTCGTTAATGAGTTTACCCCATGGTGTTTTTCAGACCATATATTTCCCTCTGCATGCGTTCATTATGCGTGATTCATTACCGGAAAGGTCAATGACCCTGGCTGCCTCCTATCACAGTGTTTTCGAGTGACTCCATTCCGGTTTAAATTTAGAGATGAAATGCGCCGCTTTTTGCTCTCGATCAAGCAGTCAAAACAATCCAGGGAAGAGGATGCGGAAACGCGCTGCGGGTGAACGCGCACATTATTTCAGGTGCCGGTGAAAAACTCGCCGCGTCTGTAAAGGCCCGAACCTCACAGGCGAGATAATAAAACAGGTCATTAAAGTATGTGACCGACCGCAGACACCTCACTGTAGACTACTTTTTTTTGTGGAATCAAATTAACTTTTCTGATCCAAAATCAAACAAAAAGAGCTCAGGGGAATCTTAAATATAATGTTTCGGAGCTCTTTGAGTAGTAAATAATACTTAAAATTATTAAATTATTTAAATAATAATACTAATAATATACTAATAATATTTTTATACATTTTTGAGTGCCTTTGACTGATTTTAGCTGTTTATTCTGATGAACTTTTCTAGTCATCTCAAGTTATATCAATAAAACTGACTAAAATATTAAGGTAAAATTTTCACAACTTTAAAAATGTGTTTAAAACATGATTAACTTCCTAAAATAAGCTAGGGTAACATAAAAAACATTTGTAATGTCATTTATATTTTACAGTGTAGCCATAACAGATATACAATTAGATCAGATTAGATTAAACTTTATTGCATTACTCATGTACAAGGCAACGAAATGCAGTTTAGGGAGTGCAATATCAGCAACTGCAGGATATAGGTATAAACTATAAAGTGCAATTATAGATAAACTGGTGATATTTGCAGATGGATGAACATTATATACATGTAGGTTATAGTAATTATGATCAGTACAGCGTTGATGTCTTGACCGCGCATCTTGGCTGCGCACGGCTCGTCAGTGTTTGGACTTTTAACAGTGAAACTAAACCACACTGAGCTGAACTAAACTGAACGTCAACACTGAAAACTGGACTGACACAGTTTACATTTATGTTTAGCTGCTTTGACACAATCTACATTGTAAAGCGCGCTATAGATACATGAATTGAATAAAACGAGGCTTAATTTGGGACGCCAGCAATAATCAAACAGCTAGATGTCTAAGAACAGCCCAAAATTAGACAAGACTTCACATATTTCTGCGTATAAATTATGACTAGTCAACTTTTTGGGCTCATAAAGAATTACACAGACAGTCTCAAGCTTCGTTTTTGTCGAGACGTCTATATTTAGACGTCTATTAGACGTCTTTTATATGCCATCAAAACACGCTCACAAACATATATACCCTATTTATTTGATGAACCGCAAATATGTTTATCTTTATTTATTTATTGGTAAATGTTTCTGTTGGCATGCTTCTAGGCCTCTAGCTAATACACAGTTTCAATGACAAGTCATCTCGTTGGTTTTTGCGGAAAAAATGCAGTGCAATGCCGAAATGCATTCCAATATATATATATATATATATATATATATATATATATATATAACAAAATAATTAATTAAAAATAATATAATTAAATTATATTAAATAAAAATTAATATTTAAAATTATATTTTATAAAATTTAAATAGATTTTTTTTTTAGATATTTATAAGTTTTGTTTAAAATAATATATTTAAATAACATATATATTTTTATATATTGTATTTAAACACATTAAAAGACTTTTTAGTTTTTACGACGATCTACGCTATTTAAAAATGCTAGGATGTATTAAAACAACGCCTGGTCAAATATGGAAATTAAAAAAATGCTGGGTTAAATCGAGATATTAAATTGAATGCTCGGTCAAATATGGACATTAAATTAAATTCTGGGTCACATATGCACATTAAATTAAATGCTGGGAAAAATATGGACATTAAATTCAATTCTGGGTCAAATATGGACATTACATTGAATGCTGAGTCAAATATGGACATTAAAACAAATGCTTGGTCTAATGGACATTACATTAAATGCTTGGTCAAATATTATGGACTGAATTAAATTCTAGGTCAAATATGGACATTGCTTTGAAGGCTGACTCAAATATGGACATTACATTTATTTATAAATTAAGATTTATTTATATTAAATGTATTATTATTCAATAATTTCTTTTCGACTTAGTCCCTTTATTAATCAGGGGTCGCCACAGCGGAATGAACCGCCAAGTTATCCAGCATATGTTTTACGCAGCAGATGCCTTTTCCATCACTGGGAAACACACACAGGCTCTTGCATTTACAACATACACACACGTTCATCTGGACTGTGGGGGAAACTGCAGCACCCGGAGGAAACCCACGCGAACACGGGGAGAAATGCCAACTGACTGAGCCGGAGCTCGAACCTTGCTGTGAGGCAATCATGCTACCCATGGCGCCACCGTGACGCCCAATGTATTATTATGTTATTTATATAATTAATTATACTTACAAAAATGGAACATCAAATTAAATGCTGGGTCAAATTTGCACATAAAAGTAAATGCTGGGCCACATGTGGAAATTAAATCTAATGCTGGGTCAAATATGGACATTAAATTAAATGCTGGGTGACATATGGACATTAAATTGAATGCTGGGTCAAATATGGACATTACATTAAATGACAAAAATGCAATTTAAATTTAATGTGAAAAAACCTAACCCAATTTTGAGTTTGTCTATGTTTGAACCACATTGTGTTGATATAAACAAATAAATAAAAAGCATTCTACACATCTACACAAATGCTGTGATGTATTAAGACAACGATGGTCAAATATTGACATTAAATAATGGGTCAAGTTATAGACATTAAATTAAATTCTTGGTCAAATATGGAAATTAAATTAAATTTTGGGTCAAATATGGACATTAAAATCGGGGTCAAATATGGATATTAAATTCGGGGTCAAATATGGACATTAAATTAATTTCTGGGTCAAATATGGACATTAAATGCTGGGTAAAATATAGACAATACATTGAATGCTGAGTCAAATATGGACATTAGATTTATTTATTTATGTTTAATGTATTATTATTCATTCATTTTCTTTTCGGCTTAGTCCCTTATTTATCAGAGGTTGCCACAGTGGAATGAACCGCCAACCTATCCAGCTTATGTTTTACGCAGCGGATGCCCTTCCAGACGCAACCCAACACTGGGAAACACCCATACACTCCTAAACTTTTAGTTCATCCAGTTCACCTGGACTGTGGGGGAAACTGGAGCACCCGGAGGAAACACGCGAACACGGGGAGAAATGCCAACTGACCCAGCCGGGGCTCGAACAACGACCTTCTTGCCGAGAGTCAATTACATTATATTTATTTATGTATTTAATAAGATATACTTACAAAAATGTCATTTAAAGTTAACGCGAAAAAAACTTGTCTAGTTGACCCACATTGCGTTAATACAACCCATCTTTATTTTAGTGTAATGCTATGCAATTAAATTAGGCTATTAGATTAATGTTGTTCTCTCTCTAATTTCTATTAATCTATAATGTATTTACTTTAAGGTTCAGTCTCAAAAGCATATTTGAGATCTTTTCAGAAAACAACTTTTATTATCTGTGATACTCATATATCATAAAATAAAATATTTAGTCAAAAGACTAAATTAATCATATGAGTAATGCGCGATAAGTTTAATATAGCCTGAATGTGACCAATAGATCCAGGATGAAAGTTT